CACATTTCCAAGGAAACTAAGGAATTGCACAAAGCACGGTTACAGACTATAGCTGTTGGAATGAATGCTTCCTGGAAGCACTTGAAAAATTGTGATGAACAAACAATTGGAAAAGCATCAAAGGGGGTCTTAAGACTAGGATTAAAGCTGGATTTGCCATGTTTATTTTTACTCCATGCATTTTGGTTTGGGTAGTATATTGTAGATGCATTTATACTGTAGCAGGTTCCCTGGTTTTGAGGATTTTCTTGTTTTTCAAGGAAGGATAATGAAGTGAATTTTTAAGAGGTAGAGGATTTAATTTTCTGTGATTGTAGACCACACTTCAAGGAATGGAGAATCTATCATGGGAGGCACAGACTCAGGGAAAGGCTTCAAAAGCCATGGTGAGTATCAGCACAACATAAGCTCCAATGGTGATGCGGGGATGCTCACAGGAGCCAAATCCAGGGAACGCTGCACAAACCCAAAGAGACTCAAAATATTCACCCTGTATTTATCACTCAGGAAAATTTGTACAGCAGTGGTAGATTAGCTCCTGGGTTTGAAGAAAGAACTAAACCCAAGAAGTTCCTTGACATATGAAAGCAAGAAATCAAACTATCACAGGCATTCTCTGTGCCCACCCTCCTTTGGAAAGCCCCATGTCACTTAATGTGCTGGTACCCCCCTAAATTCTATGGAAATCTTAATAAATACTGTGGGTATTTTGCATGGTACAGCTGATACAGGAATTAAATCCACTTGCAGAGGCTTTAAATCAATAGCACTTAATTAGTTTAAATAAGTAGACACAATCATAAATAGCCCTTCCTCAAGAAGTCTAGTCAATAAAGTTTGATTTAGCAGAAATTGGATAAGAACAGCAGATAGCAGATAACTTGGGTTCAGGGACTAATTATACTCAGAAGCAGAGATTTTCCATTTTAAATTGAAGCCATTTAAATGGCATCAGAGGTATGAAAGAGTAACAATTTCATCTTTAACCCGTGTAGGAACAGTTAGGTTGAAAGGACTGATTTAATATACTCCAAATCTGCCATCACTTGGTACTCAAGGAAACTGCATTGCACTCAAATGCAGGCAGACATCTCTTGCAGTCTTGCCGGGGCTGGCTGGCAGAATAATACCCACTGAAGCCAAGGGGTAAGTCCAAAATACCCCACCTGAAAACCCAGAGGGTTCTTAAAACATTGGCAAATTCTGAAAATACAGGTAAGATTTACCCTGTGCTGTACCTGAAGGGAGCCTGCATGAAAGATGGAAACTATTAATATTGAAAGGCCACAATAAGGTGACCCCAGAGCTTTCTCTTTCTTCTGGGGGTGGAATGAAGAAATGTGAGGGAGGAATCAGAGACAGTTGTGATACAAAGAGATACTGGGGCGTGTCAGGTGAAGAGAACAACTGAGAAAACAGGAGAATGTGGGAGTGCAAGGGAGCCTGTGGAGCCTGTGCTGGGCACTGCTGGGGCCACACCTCAAATCCTGTGTCCAGTTCTGAGACCTTTGCTATGAGATGGACACCGAGGGGCTGGAGCGTGTCCAGGGAAGGGAACGGAGCTGGGGAAGGGGCTGGAGCAGCAGGAGGGGCTGAGGGAGCTGGGAAAGGGGCTCAGCCTGGAGAAAAGGAGGCTCAGGGGGAACCTTCTGGCTCTGCACAACTCCCTGACAGGAGGGGACAGCTGGGGGGGTCAGGCTCTGCTCCCAGGGAGCAGGGACAGGACAGGAGGAAACAGCCTCAAGCTGTGCCAGGAGAGGTTGAGGTTGGACATCTGGAAGAATTTCTTCTCTGGAAGGGTGATTAGGCACTGGAAGGGGCTGCCCAGGGAAGAGCTGGAGTCAGCTGGAGGTGTTTAAGGAAAGCCTGGTCTCCAGTGGGATGGCCTGGGGACAGCAGAGCTCTGTGGAGACTTTCTCATGAAGGCAGCTTCTCCTCCAGGCTGTGACAGGGATGAGTCCCTTCTGTGTCCCGGAGACTCGGTCCCAGAAGGCTTGGGAGGAGCAGGAACGATGCAGTGCAGCAGCCAGCCAAGGGTGGGACCTGCTTGAGTGACAGCTCTGCCCTCCCCCATTCGGGGCAGAAACCTTCCAAGTGGTGCCACTGTGGGCAGGGCTTCAGTCACAGCCACTCCTTATGGCACACCAGCTGGGCACCGGTGCTGGCAGCATCCCTGGGTGTCCTCTGGGCGTGATCCGAGGTGCAGCTCCTGGTGCAGGCCTGAGGTACAAGGCGAGGGGACAATTGTGTGGCCACACCAGGTCCCCTGGATTCCAGACTGCTGGACATAGTGATTCCTTTGGCCCACACTGCACTTTTCAGTCACCTCCTCCCAGCACACCCCAGGCATGGACTAGAATTGTGCAGGGAGTTCCAGAGGTAGTTGTGCACCCCAAAGCTCAATCATCCTCTTTCCCCCGTACTAGAATCTGATGCCATTTGCCACGTGGCCAAGGTGCAGGTGTTCTCTCACCCTGCCTGGTGACAGGTGTCTGTCCCTTCACATCAACCCTCAGGACATTTATTTTCCTTTCTCCATGTTTTGTGAAGTGCTGGTATACTTAGCAATGCACGAAAATTAAAAGGATTGGCATGGATTTATTTCTAAGATCTTTATTAATTTATTTTGCAATTGAAGTGGCTTTAGGGGTCACAGCTGTTGTCTAGTATCTAGGATGGGATTGCTCACCAGTCTAAGCACGTAACTGGAGTTCCTTTCCACAGTCACTGTTAGTTTTGCCTGTTCAGTGTCACTTGGCTGAAGTAATTAATTTTCCCTGGCCTGTCTGCCCTTTACTTTTTGTGGTCATGTAGCTGGAGAGGAAAATCTGGGTACCAACCTTTCCTTTGCTGTTGCAGAAATTGCAGGGTTTGCTCCTTTCTGGGATTTAATCACTTTGTGGGCAGCATGAATTCATGAGACAAATTCAGAAGGTATTGGAGGCATGCAAAAAGGAAAGAACCAGAAGGCTCACTTTGATAGCAGCCACCTCGCTGGCTTCTCTAGCAGCCAGCCCCTTCCTCAAGACAGTGGGAGACTACTGGAAAAAGCAAATTAGTTACTCTAATTCCAGCAGAGCATCCCTAGCGTGCTTCATCCTAGACCTGTGGTCACCAGCTGGTGCCCAAATGCTCCTGCCAGCTGTGGGATGTAGAATACTGTAAATTTCTGTTGTGCTAACAGTGCTTATATCCTGCAGTGGGACTGTGGCACTTTAGAAATACCTGAGAGACAGAAATGCATGAATGATTTCTCTGAAATAAAATCTGTCACCCTGGAGGTGTTATCCTGACTCTCTCTCTCTCCCCTCCCTTCTTTTTATCATTTCCTTCCCTCACTTCCCTTTCTTTCCTTCTTTCTCTCCAGAGTGAGTTCCCATCAATTTCTCAGCCCAAAGAATCTGGAGTTGAGGGACATTCTTAGAACTGGTCTTAATTTTCTCACATTTCTGAAAGAATCTGAAAAGCCAGAGGAGGGCACTCAGTGGTCACCATTCCTTTATGAGGGAAAGTGGTTTGTCTTTTTTTCTCTGCAGTGACACACCATCCTGCTGGTAGAAGAACCTGTTTCTGAGGAGGTTGTTTTCTCATTGCCACCTGGGTTATACGGGATCTAGTTTTCCAGTCTGCTGCTGGGAAAAAAAATGCATGTAATAGTGATGACTGAAATACAGCTTTTTACACTCTCTGTTTCATTGTGACTGGAAAAACAGATTTTTGTTGATCCTGGACAAGAGATGTGTTTTGTGTAATTTTTTAGAAGTATTTTATGCCTATTCTCTAAAACATTTTTTGAGATGTATCAAATGAAAGTGTCCCTGCATGCACAGGAGACTTTCCTTTCAGGCTCTGTTTCATGTTCACCTTAGCAACACTGGTCTGAATAGCCAGAGACACATCAGCAGGAGCCCCCATCTCTGGAAAAAAAAAAAAAAAAGGAAATACAGGAAATTTCAGGAGATTGAGCAAAAGGAGGCCAGAAGAGGCAACAGACTCAAAGTTAAGGTGTCCCAAAGCATTTTGCCATTGCAGCAGTGAATGACTCAACCAGGCCACCACGTGGGGGGAAGGGAGAGTGGAAGGGATTGAAATGGGATGAACAACTAGGAAGGAAGACTGAGGGAGGGTTAGACTTCCTGAAGCTGCTGGGAAGATGTAATTTGGGGTGATAGCAGCTGCATGGGAGAATGGTCACCACTTTCCAGATCCTCCCATTGATCCCTCATACCTGGACTTGCTTCTTTTTGCTTTCCAGAGCTCTTGCATTGCCCTGCTGCTCATGTGTTGCCTTGGGCCATTTTCTGCTCTGTCTCTCCCTCCAGCTGACCTTCCCCACAACGCTGCTGAACTCTGCCTGACTGTGGCTGAGCTGTTTGTGCTTTCCCATCTTCAAGCACAACCACAGAGAAGACTTCTCTGTTCTGTCAGTGTTTCCCCTAACAAAAGGGCAGCCTCACCTTGCTTACCCCAGAGCACCTCCAAGCACACAGGATGTGCCCCTGCTTTTACAGATGGCAGAGCTTTTGACAGGCCTGTGTGTGTCCTTCCATTTCCCTTTTCCCAGCCTTAGCAGATCTTTTCCAGTACAGGGACTGCGAAGTTTCTTCCCACAGCTCTGCACCTGACTTGTGCTTAAGAAGGTGCCTCTTTGCTGGTCAACTGCTTTCTTTTCTTGCCTGATTTCTTTAACAGATGACCTCTGGATTTCTCCTGATGCCTTCGAGGCAGAAATACCAAGCTAAACAGGAAAAACAGAGTTTACATGTAGTACACATTAGAGGGATTTCAGGCATCTTCCCAATTCTTTGGACAGATGATCAAGGCTTTATGTGAACGTAGGGTGAAACAGGAACCACAAGATGCTTTATTGAAAAAAAAATTATATTTTAACAATTACTGGGAGAAGGGAAGCAGCAATGGGAATGCAGGGAGCAAGGGGCTGAAACAGAAGCATTTTCCTGTGTCTAGAGAAGGAAGAATTAGGATCAATGAACAAACACGATGATATTTGGTCTGGACCCTTGAATCCAAGTTCCCTGGCGTGGTTAGCCTTGATGTTACCTGTCAGAGCTGTCCTGAGGATGTGGGTTGTTGTGAAAACACTCAGGACTTACCTCAGGGCAGCCACATCCTGCCCTAAGCTTCAGGCATTTGCTTTCCTTTGGCTAATTTGGGATGCAGCTGCCAATGTGACTGTGGGTTTCATCTGCATCTTCCACCGTTGTGACCACAGCTACAAATGCACGTGGAGAGAAAGTCAGTTCTTTTCTCTGGAAATGTAACCTGAGAAGATCCTGAAGTTTCTCAGGCTCGGAGTCTCTGGATTCACCACCTTTGCCATCAGTGCTCAAGTCAGTCACCTCCCAGCAGGAGCATTCCTGGGGAGAGCAGTGAAGTGCCAAGTCAGAAGCAGGAAGGAAAGAAAAAGGAAATGACTGGTACTTGAAAATACTCAACCCAGGAGGCATGAACCATGAACTGAAGAGAGATGCCAGAAGAAACCCAGACACAGCTTGGAATACAAGAGAGAATGACTAATTACAGATGCTTCCTCCAAGTCTGTGAGTAGGTGAAAGTGACGTCACTGCTGGTGTGATCATGGATGTTGGTGCTGGTGCATCACAGCAGTGGCTTTGTTTCTCTAGAGCAGAGAAGAGGAATACATCCTCTTCTGGAATGCATCCACAAATTGTTACTTCACTCTGTACCATGAAGCTGTCTGTGAAGAAGGCTCTTTTATTCCCTTTCTTGGTGATACCACAGCCCCCATATTTGCAGTACCCTTAAAAATCCGGGTAGCTTTCTCCCTAATCCACAGAAAAAAGAACATCCATCAGTGGAACAGCACACGCTGCCACTAACTTGTTCCTAAAGCATCCTGTGAAGGACTGCTAAAGCAAAGCCTGTGTGAAGATGTTTTGTGCTGCCATCTGGGGACAGTGAGGTTTGCTCTTGTGTCCCTTATGAACATGGGCAAAGAATTCCTGCCTCCTCATTCCCTCGGCTCCTCCAGTGGCTGAAAGGTTCATATTCCTTGTATTAAATAAGTATTTCTGAGGCTGGGCTTTCATGACATCCTGAAATGGCAAATCACTCTCAGTGATTTGTGACTGGAGATTATCCTGGATGGCTAAAGCTCTTGCCATCCCCAGCCACACCACTGGGTTATTTTTAATTTGGATTGCTTCCCCGATCCAGTGCTCAGCACAGCTCCACAAACCGCAAGGCTGGCACAAGTGAGGGAAAATTGCAGTCTGAGGTTGGTGGTAACAAATATCTCAGGATTCCTTAAATTGGTAATGCCACCATGCAATCCATGCCATCAAACAGGAGCCTGGGGGAAGCAGCAGAGAGTTAAGAGGATGAAGAACAAAGGCATTAAACAGAAATGTACCCTTTTTTGCACACGAGTATCTGCAGAGGAGGTTCAGTTTAGGAATCTTTTTCGAGTGGATGTCACACAGCTGGAATCGGTGCTCATATCTTGCTAAGTACCTCTGAGGAATGGAGCTGCCAGTTTTGTACTACTCTGCTCATCCCATTGGAGATCTGGTTCGGCCTCCTTTTCCTCCAAAAGCCTCATCTGCTCGTCGGTGTGTACTTGTGGTCACTTCCTCATGAGCTCTATTTGTGGTGCCAGTGCAGCTCTGTGTGCAGCTGCAGTGCGATGCAGATTGAAATTTCAGTGACTGAAAAGTAATAGTTTCCCACTTCACCCTTGGTTATTTTTAGCTGGATCAGTTCCTGATCCAGTCCATTGTACAGACATGCAAACAGCTGTGCCAGTGTGACAGGAGGAGAATGTTTGAGGGAAGCAGAGGAGAGGCTTAGCCGAGTTTAATCATCACTGGTACCAAATGGAAAACCACAATCATGAATGATTGCTCTAAATGCCTGGCAGCAGTTATTTAAACTTCTCTACAGCTCCCTGTCTTACTTCTTATGCAAGAAACAAAACCTAGGGAACTTCCCAAGTTGGTGCCACAGAAAGGAAAGGGCCCTGTATCTGGTATAGATGGCCCTTTCTGCACGAATCAAGGCAAGCTGAATGCAGGGAGCCTGAAAAAGTCTGCTGGCAGGCAAAGCAGCTAGGGCTCCTCACAGCTTCCTTACCTGTTGTAGTTTGGCCAGCCTGTACATTTAAAGGTCAAGTCCTGCAGAGACCAAAATTTGCCAGGACACCAGCCATGAGCAGCTACCCAGAAGTGTGCAAAATGTGTTTATAGTGGTCAAAAACCATGCCTGAGACACATGCTAAATACTGGTCACTACCAAAAGATAGTGATTCTGACACAAAGATGGAAAGTATAATTAAAAATTTAGAGATTTATTCAGAAGCAAAAGATTTATTTAGTCAGTTAAAACCACTTACTGATGCATATGACATGCTCCTTGGTGCCTGACCAACTGCTGCTGTGGGCAGGGAATGGTAGGGATATTGTTCCATGAGGATTTTCTTCCATCCAAAGGCAGAAACAGAGAAAGGATTTACAGAAGAGAATGGAATGAGTTGGAAGGAATCTTTAAATGTCATCTGGTTCCAACCTCCACCTTCCACTATCCCAGGTTGCTCAGAGCCCTATCCAGCTTGGACTTGGACACTGCCAGGGATGGGGCAGCCACAGCTTCTCTGGGAAACCTGTGCCAGGGCCTCACCACCCTCACAGGGATTTCTCCCCAATATCCAATCTAACCCTGCTCTGTGTCAGTGTGAAGCCATTGCCCCTTGTCCTGTCACTCCAGGCCCTTGTCAAGAGTCTCTCTCCATCTTTCCTGTGGGCTCCCTTCAGGCACTGGAAGGCCACAGTGAGGTCAAACCAAACTACTCTGAATCTTTTAGGCTGAAAAGAACCTTTAAGGTCATTAAGTCCAACCACTAACCATCTTATTTTGCATGGTTCATCTGTGTGTTTTTCCTTTCTCTATGATGATCACAACTGCAGCAGCACTCTGAAAACATGGACAAAGCTCCCACTTATTTTGGGGTTGTCCTGGGAAATTACAAATCTGTGCAAATGCTGGCTTTTTTTAATCTCAGAATTGCATCCAGGGATGACAAGAAGCAGTTTCATTTAGGAAATTTTTAAAAGCCTTTCAATCTTTCATTGATACCTGAATTGATACCTTTGATACCATTGATACCTTTCATTTCAATACCTGAAAGATACAGTTTTTCTACATTAGCAAGAAGAAATACAAAGAAAGGTGTAAGCACAAGGACATGTTTTCCCTTGATGATGCACATCATCATGGTGACCTCTCTCCTTGCACAGTCACTTGAAGTTTCACAACTCTGGTTCAGACTAAATACCAATGACCTGATTCATTCTTCCACTGAATTTCACTGTTAATAATTGTAAAAAGAACATTTAGTGCCATGACTCAGTAGGCAAAGTATCTCCTGCCCCCTCTGGCTGAAGTTTGCTGTGGCCACACCCACCTCCAGCAAAGGCTGTCCATAAATGGCCCCATGGCTCCCTAACCAGGCTCCTGACACTCACTTTTCCCAAGGATTAATGTCTGAGCTTCCAGGGAAATTTGTCATCAGTACCTGCAACAAAGCAAGCCCCCCTCAGTTATGTCATGCTTTAAAATAGCATGCCCATACCTCTCGAAACTCAAGTCATCACAGACATATTGCAAATTTCCAATTTACAGGCTGCTGACTTTTTGGAGGAGGGCATTAAGACAAATACTGTGAAATCTGTGAGAGGTCACAAAGGAAAGCAAATGTTTATTAGTAGGCCTGTATGCACAGCAGCTGACTGGAAATGTTCAGGGGGTCTGGAATTTAAAAAAAAGAAACCCTCACATTACAACCACTTTCGTAGCTCTGAGATCAAAATCATGGAAAATAAGATGAGAGACCACGTTGTTACCAAATCTTTAATTCCTAGGAGTCCCAGGTGGCCAGCATTACATAAAACTTCTATGAAAAATGCATGCCATTCCATGAATAACTTGCATGTATTATGTAAAATATTTATTGAAGACAAATGCCATTCCATGAATAGCTTGGATGCTGCTTACTTTGAGTAACAGCATGTTCATCTACTGTAAATTAATTTCTGTGCAACAAAATTAGTTTTATCCCTCAGTCTATCACCCTTTTCATTAGTAAAGTTTATGAACACATTTCTACTTTTAAATCCAGCTTTCATAAGAGCCCATACATGAAAAAGGACACTGAAAGCAGCTCATTAGTTGCTCTTGAAAAAGGCTCAGTGGGAGGTGAAAGCAAATATAACAAAGAGAATAAAATATCTGTGATGAAGAACCTCTAAACCTGGCCTAGGGCTGGGAGACAACCACAGGAACATGAATTAAAGCTCAAGTCTATGTCCTACTGAGTTATCTTTACATTAGGGGACCATCCCTTAAGTGAGGTCCCATCTGCAGGTGTTTCTTAGCTATACTGAAGGGTTAGAGTTGTCTCAGCAACTTTAAAAAGCTGGATCACTGGGTGTAAGAAAAAAATTAATTATTCCACCACTTTCCATACAGGCTGTTTTCTGTAAAGCTGCTCTGCACATAGATTTGGAGTTTACAACAGTACATACACACACATACAGAAGCTCCAACAGTATATCCTGGTATTGTATAATATCTAATATAACAATATTGGATAGTGTGTGCAATAAATTAATCTGCCTTTTTATATACAGTTAGTAAAACTACAGCTGTGCATACACAAATTCCCTTTCCCTCTAACTGAACCAACAAGCTTTTTAGAGAAACCACATCATCTGCGTTTCCTGACTGTTGTTTCAGATTCTGACTTGCTCACCTTTTTCCCCTCTGGGCTTCTGTCTTCTCTGGTCTTACAACTTCACTGTTTCTATTCCACACATCCCTTCCAGAAGACAAACTGCGAAATCACAGGAGTGAAACTGATAATTTTTTGAAACCACAGGTCTCAGAGAAATCAGCCCATCCTCATCCTGAGCAAAGATTAACTGAGTATCAAAAAAAAAAAAAGGTAAAATATTACAAGTAATAACAAACTGAGAATAGATCATCAAACAAAATAAGAAAAGCCCCTTTTTCAAATATCAAAGCAGCATTTCTAGGGTATGATTCACCTATTCCTAAGGTAGACACCTAAAACAAATCAGATGAATCACCATCTAACAGTGTCCATTTCTCCCAAGAAGTTTCAAAATCAAACACAGTTCAGAAGCTTTCTTTGATTTTAATACATATTTTCAGATTTGGGGATTAATTTCATGGTGTAGTTTTGACAGGCTTGGGGACAGTATTTTCCTCTAATTTCTGAAGGAAATACAGCTTTTTTTATCCCACTGTCAGCTGCCATTAGGAACCAGTGTCTCATTTCAATCAAATACAAGCACATAGAGGAATCAGAGATGAGCAGGTTCCTATATCCAGAGATCAGTGTTCCTACAGCCAGGGATTAATGCTCCTTTAGCCAGGGATCAGTGGCCAGGTTCAGCAGAGAGCTCGTACTGGCATCCCCATGGGGAGGATCAGCAGGGGAAAGCTGCCTTGTCCATGCTCTTTGGCATTTTAAGCAGTATCTTGTCCAGGCAGTAGGACAAAATACCTGGTTTGGGATCACTGAATCTGTTGGGAACATGAGAATGATATAAGGATGATTTGGGGGAGAAGGGTGTTAGGAAGAGGGTGAAATAAATGACAGCAGAATGTGCCAATTTCATAATAAAGTATTAATTAGAATATTGGAATAATGAGCTCTCTAGATGCTGTTTGGACTGGAAGGATTTGGTGGTATAACACTGCACATGACCACGAATAGCTGAATCAAGGAGGCTACATAAGTCCAGCTGATCCTGGAAGCTGCTGCTCCTAAAATGAAGGAGACAACTTACACCTGTTCTTTGGCAGCCCTTCCTCCTCAGGAGCTCCTGAAATGCTCTCACTCCTTAGAAGATGGGAACTTCTTCCCCCTAGGAGAGTCTCCAAAGCAGATTACCAGAAATCAATCAGAAATTAATTAACTTCTCCTATGAGGACAGGCCTAGAGAGCTGTTCAACCCCAGCCTGGAGAAGAGACCTTATGTGGCCTTTCAATAGGCAGAGGAGTCCTACAAGAAAAATGGAGGCAATTTACAAGGGCCTGGAGTGACAGGAAAAGAGGGATGGCTTCAAACTGACAGGGGGTAGATTTAGATGAGGTATGAGGAAAAAATTATTTACTCTGAGGGTGGTGAGGCCCTGGCACAGAAGCTGTGGCTGCCCCATCTCTGGAAGTGTCCCAGGCCAGGCTGGATGGGGCTCTGAGCAATCTGGGATAGTGGAAGGTGTCCCTGCCCATGGCAGGGGGTTGGAATGAGATGAGCTTTAATGCCCTTTCCAGCACCACTCTGATTCTGTGATCTGGGAGCCCCTGAGGAGAGAGCTGGTGACTCCTGAACCTGGGAATTGAGGACAAAGCCCTGAAGTCCCATGGGGACTCTTTTTTTCTGGCAGATGCATGAGGAGTGAGCTGCACATGCTGGTTCCTGTGCTCAGCAGGGCCTGGGGGCCTGGCACCTGCTCCCAGCACCTGGCCCAGCAGGGCCCCCCACACCCACGCAGGAATCCTGGCCAACCCCACTGCAGGGAGCCCCTGGGAACAGGGAAGGGGGTGCAGCAGCACATGGCCAGGAGAAGCAAGAAGCCACCACTGGCACGGGACAGGGAACAGCACACAGCCAGGCTGGTGCAGGCTGCGTGTGGGAACACATCTGCAATGATAAGAGGTTTGCAAAACAACCTCTGGGAAGAAACCAGGGAACTGAGTTTATTGAGTCTAGAGGAGAAGGCTGGAAATAGGGCAAGACATGATAGTGCAGTTGAGAGAGGCTGCTATTAAGAGAGGCAGCGATTACACTGCTGGAAGGACAGAGATAAAATCTAACCAACTTAATTTCCAGGAAAGAAAAGAAGACAGGAGAAAAGAACAAGAGTAGATGTTGCAAAACCTTTCTCTGCGTAAGCCAGAGTTGGAAAATATTATCTGGGAGGTTGTGAAACCCCCAGCACCAGAAGTTAACCAGACATCACCATGCTCTCTCAGGAGAGGATGGACTGCCAAGCTAGTCCCCAAGATAGCCTTTGGAAAGCAAAAATCCATCTACCCTTTTCAAATACAAATGAGAAACCATCCGTGCATGTCATATGGATCATTAAATATAGGGGTGATGAGTAAAGTTTCACATTTGGATAACAAAGCTACTATAGATTTACAAATCCTGATTTCAATGCAGGCATTTAAATTTGAAATATTATTTGGATAGAAAACTTTGATCTTTCTTCTCAAAGAAACCTGCAGTTGTTGAGCAGGTAAATGCTGCCAAGACCTTTTAGTGCTATTTCTGTCACATGGCAGCTCCTTCCTGCAACCAACCTTCCTCTGTTACCTCCTGCTCCCATGTAGAGAAGCAGCAGCCACTTGATATTCTGTGGGGCATTTTTACTCCTGTTGAAATGTCTGTGGGCTGGGCCAGTCTCACAGAAGGTCATAGAGTCATATCTCCAGCATCTGATGATATAGGGCCATAAGATATACCTCAGGCACTGGAAGAAAACCCAGACCATATGTTTCTTCTGGGATCCACTACAGACAATACTCCCAAAACAGAGGCATTCTGGGCTTCCTGGTCCATCAGCAGTAATTAAGGCCACCAAGACATCTTATGGTAATGGATTACCTAAAGGACATGGAGTTAGGGGGTTTTTGTGTTGATGAATGGGCATCTAAGCTGAAACAATCTAGGCAGACTCCCATAGCGCATATGGAAAGGGTTTTGATGGGAATTGACCTGACTCAGGATCAGCTGGTTGACCCCTGATCTGTTTGCTCCTAGTGAGAAGAGCTGGAGCCAGGATTCACCCCTTCCTTACTCAGCATCAGTGAAAGCACCTCGGCAGGAAACAGCCCCTGAATGAAATGTGCTCACTGTGAGACCTGCCAGGAAGGCAGTCCAGCACCAGAGCTGGGATAAAGGCAAAGATATCCAGGCCACTGCTGGGAATCCTGCAGGGAATATGAGGCACAACCCCCAGAATTACAGAGAACAATCTGACAATGCTCCAGGACACGGGGTAGCAGGGGTTGGATGTGAGTACCCTACGAAGATGATGGGCCTCATATGGTTTTTCTGAGAATCACTAACAAGGGAGGGGGAGGTCCTGGCAATGGAACATCAAACATCTACTTACAGTTGTGACAAGGTTAAACAACCTTTTGGTCTTTGTTTCTTTATTCTCTGATTCCTTGGGGACTTCAACTCACATGTCTCAGGAGGTGTGAAAATGTCAGAAGAGAAAGAAGAGTGTGTGGCAATGCATGTTGACCACAGGACAAGGATGTGGTCCTTCCACAGCCACTTTACACCCTGAGCCTCCACAGTAATGCAGCAAGTTTTTGCTGAAACCCCCCTCTTTTTACAGGGTCATTCTGCTTTTATATTTTACTTGCAGGATTATTTTTGTGCTGTTCTTAACTAAATGCAAAGAAAACTAAAAATATCACACAGTGTGAATCACAAAAAAGGCCCTTTTTGTGTGTTAAGAACAAAAGCTCAATTCAAGAAAAATGTGCCTTTGCTCAAAGGAAACAATCCTGCTTCAGTCTGCCCTTCCAACAGCATCAGAAGTCCAAACAAACAATGCTTCCCCACCCAGTGTGCATGATTATATTTCTGTGCAAGCTCACATCCATCTTTATAATCCATCCTATGGGAAAGGCTGCTTTTTCCAGACTGAGGGGAGTAAGTGGCACAGGGAACCTCTCTCAGTATACAACAGGCCAATGTCGGGAATCTGTGCTCATTTTTCTATTATGAGATTGGTTATCTAATTAAAGGACTTATGTTACATAAGTTTAGGGCCTTCAGGAAAGCCACCATGGGTGGCTAAAATCCCAGGGATTTTATTTTTTAAAAAGGTGAAACTACAATGTTTCTTGAACACTGACAGAAAGCCTTAACAGCAATCCAGTGCCCAATCCTAACAAAAACTACCTGAGGGTGGAAAAGGGAAGTTGCTCTCTTAAACCTGCTGGTGTGACAACAACCAACACAGAGGAGCAGTACAGCAAACAGAATGGTGTTTGGGCTGATGTTCTCTCACCTGGATGCAGCCAGGAATCAGTGTCAGGAACAGCTTCCCATGAGGGGGCACTACACTATCACACATCCAGGCTCGGAGATCTCCACCTCCAGGACTTGTACAAAGACACTGAACAGAGAGAGAAGCTCACTTCAGCTTTGTTTATCCTCCTCTGCAAAAACTAAGATGATGAAAAATTAGTTTGTCTCGTTAAAAGCGACACAACTATGTGTAATTCTATCCACCAAGATAACCAGAACAAAAATCCCAAACACTACATCTGGAATGCAGGGAGAATTGGGGATTTCTGAAGTTCTAAGTGCTTGATTTCACAGCTACTGAAGAGGACCTTAATACAAACTAAGGACTTCTGTGTGCAATTTTTTTTTAATGAACAGGGTTATTGGTGAATGGGACAGCTTAATTTGTGGGCTGGATTTTGTGTCTAGCCAACAAGAAGAAGGAAGGTGAAGGGCGGGCCTGAGTCATTACTACTGACCTACACCACAAGCAAGAACACTTAAACGGACATTATCATGTGAGGATCTCAGCTAGGAAGAAGCGACTTCCTGGCACAGCGGTTTCCGAGTGCAGAGGGATGGGCAGGAGGGGGCTGGGGCAGAGCAGCTGTTCTGAGCACAGGGGAAAGCTGCTGTCATCCTCCCACCTGGCTGCACATACTGCCTGCATGGGGAAAAGCCTGCACACCTGCAGCTCCTACCCAGCCACATCCCCCCTTTCAGCTGGAACCAGAGGAATATTTGGCAAGCCCCTTGAAGGCAGCATGCTGCTTTCACTTCTGCTCTCTGTGCTCAGTTTTCTAGAGGTCCCAACTATTTCAGCAGGTCTGGACTAGAATGAGAGTACCTGTGCAGTAGTGTGACTTTGTTCATATTCCACCTTTCCCTTACAGTAATTTATTTCTAGAGTTCACAGCTGGAGCAGAAAGTGTGAAGAAATGACCACAGGGTAGGTGGCCTTCCTGAATCTGAAAGAAACAGAAAGGCAGAATGAAGTGTTCCAGATGTTCTGATAGTGAATTGATTGGTTTGTTCAGAATAATTTCTACAGGTGCCTTTGAGTGTCACCTCCCCCAGCCCAACTTAAGTTATTGCCATCAACACCAATATATAAAAGTGCAGAGGAAGACTGATGAAGTTCTTGCTTTAGCATTTCCAAATGGAGTGGAAGTATTTTAAGAGTCCCAGTAACCTTCTCCAGGACTTCTCAAAGGGCAAAAGCAGACAATGTTCATTATCCTAGATCCTCTCTCTTTAGGCTTTTTCTCACTGCTAAAGGAAGGAAGGGAAACATCAGTGTGTGAGGTGCAGGTAAAGGGCAAGGCTGAGACTCCAATCCAGCAATTACCTGCACTTGGATGTGAAAGGTAACATGGCTGGGCAATAATTTACTGTAGCATGAGGGCACAAGGATTTAGCTGCAACAGAAGAATCACAGAAGGATTTGGGGGAAAATACAGCTTTTTGCAGAGTTCACAATCTTACAACACAGAAATGGAAAGTGCCACAGAAATCAAGAGCTGCCTCCCAAAGGCTCCCTGGGAGCTTCAGCTGGGAATTTCAGTCTGGAAAAGGCACCTGCCAGGAACAAGCAACTTGGGGTACCCTTTGCATGGAGCATCTAAGGGCAGAAAAAGGATAAGCCCAAAGATTTCCTTGAAACTGTAACTGAGCTTGGAACTGCCAATATCGACTACTATAAAAGAACAACTATTTGGAAATATTTGCATAACCGGTTCTCATTAAGATTTTCCAAAATTTGTGTGTGGTATTTCTGGATTTATCAATGCTGTGATCCCGGATTTTCAAAAATTTGGAAAATCAAAACTTTGGATGACGGAGAAAAAGCAAAGCCCACTAAAAGCTTTCCTATCTTCTTCTTTGTCTGATTACTCATTCCCCCAGTACATGTTATTTTCTTCATAATGTCTTTCTGCCCTTTTGGAGGCATCTTAATAGTATGAAGCACTGGGGTTTTTCAATCTGCTTTTATTTTTTGGATCCTTGTTTATTGCCTTGTGTTTCCTGGGTATCTTTGGTGGATCCTCCTCAGGTAAGACCTCCTGATATGTGTGGACTCCAAGCAAGAAATTACTGCAATAATTTTATTCAGTAAAATCACTGCTGACATTCAGCATAAAGTACCAAAAAATACCCTCATTAATGTTCTTGGTCATAAACCACCCTTTCCTTGCACTATGTATTTTGAAAAAAAGAACCTTAAAATTCAAGTTTGTATTATTTACCTGCATGGATACTTCCATATAAATCTCCATATATTAATCAGGTGGGAATAGGGCTTAAAAAACTATATATTCAACAGGAAGAAGAGAATGTGATGTTATGCATTATGTATATCAAATGTAATTTTTGCAAATTTGGCTGAGGGAAATCCTCCTAAAAATGTAAGAGCTTACTACTGTTCCACTGAGAATTCCATCAATGAGTTGCCAAATGCTACTGGTGAGCAGGAGATAGTTGCTTTAAGCACAGTATGTATCATTAAAGGTTGGGTAATTGCTTCTGAGAATATAACCCCTTTAGTATAGCTCCTTTTTCCAATATTTATTCAAAGGAGCTTCTTGCTTGTGAAAGGAATCCACATTTTCTTAATCCCAAATAAAAGGATTTTACTGGAATTGAACTAACTTCTAAGCTATTTCCTTCTGTCTTTTGAAAAACAGTATATAAGCAAATAGATGTGATGTTTTGAGTCATGTTTTTCTGCAGTTGATCATGTGAAATCTTGAGCAGGAGACACTGTGGGGATTTCTTTCTTCTTTCTTTGGTTTGTAGCTATGCTTTTAGCAGTATTTTGTCTTGCCTTCTGCCCAGCTGATGTTTTTTACACCCTCAGCTAAACTAAAGTAACATCTCAGGTGATCTTGCCTGCTTTTGCTGTTTGAAATTGGCCATTCCAACCCTCAATTCCATCAAAATCAGGGAAGGTCAACAAAACCAACATTTGCATGTGTGCAGCCCAAACCTTTCTGAAGCTGTGGCATGAGCAGTCATTTTCCTTGACATCAGTCTGGACTGCAGCTGTAAACTGAGCTGGGAAAGCCCATCAGCCTCCCCCAGGCCAACATCCACAAGTTCAGAAGCACCTCATCCCTTTTAGAACAGGCAGGAGCTTATAATCAAGTGAACTGTTGGGCAATGTCAGGCTACAGGATGCGTGCAAATAAAAACATTCTTTTACCACCTTGTGTGGCTGACAGGCAGGGACTCTCCAGACCATCCCTTATTCTCATGCCCCTAACAGTAGCCTTTGTCTCAAGTCCATTTGTTTAAATTTTCCTGGCAGACCCTGTTAAAAAAGGGGAATTTAGCTGTGTAGGATAATGGCCTGACTTGCACATCAGGCCAGGCACTGCAATTACTTTGGAAAAAATTTGCACAACACACCAAATGGGCCATTCATACTTAATCCATCCAATGTAGACCTTCACTGTAACTGGTACATCATTCATCATGACAAAAAACTATCCCTCCGTGGCTCATTTGCAGGTATCCATTTGTACAAAAATCTTACTGCTTTTTTGTATGGAAAAATCCTGGATGAAGTTGAATAAGGATTATAAAGATACATAATTTGGGTGGATTATTTTGCTCCTGGTTTTACTCCATAAGAGCAAACACAGCATTGTATCTAGGTCACTTGTTGGCTGCGGGCTATTTGGAATTCCCAGGAGAAGGCACTTGAGAAGGAAATAGGGGAAGCCCATTTTGGTCTGTTCTTGTCTTGGGATGTTCATGTTCTTTGACAATATGGGTTTTGTCTCAGAGCTACTGTTATTAACTCAGGTTGTGTCAGCAATGTGGATTTATAACTAGTTTCACACAGAAAAGCATTTCTAGCCATATCGCCCAAAGGAACTTCCCAGCTCTGCATTTTCCTAAACTTTTCTGTCACAGCCACCTGGAACATCTCCTTGAACAAATTTCAGGAAAGATCCCAGAAATCAGTATTTGTCTGTGTGAACCCAGAGTTTCTCAAATACCTGGGATAAATGATGCCTCTCCCAGACAACAGCAGGAATTCACTCTTGTAACTACATCCACAACTGGCACTGAAGCAGATTCTCAGACTGAGACAGACCCAAGCTCACTCCCACAAATGAAGAACTTCCTGTAAACAAACCAAGAAACAAAAGCTAAAAATAGACCTCCTCCCTAGCTGCTGTCATGTGGAGAAGAAATCAGAGCATGAGATACACCTCAATCTGAAGCAGGGAAGCTCCAACCTGTATCTTTGAGGGATGATTTGCACACTTAAAACAATGTAACACCCCACTGCATCCTTTCTGCCCCACTAGACTGAATCCAAAGGTTGGCTGTAGGGATAAAGAACCTCTGTCAATGACACAGCTGCATTCAAGATTTAAAAAAAAAAATATACTGTGCAACTGTGACACTTTTTCCTCTCTTACCTCAGCACCTGCTGTAGCTCAAGAAGGTGCTGGCACCCAAAAAAGCAACAAGAGCACTGGCAGTACCAGAGCTGAGCTGAGGCCAGGGGAGGGTCTGCACTTTTCTCAGCCTGCTGCAGTGAAAATGCAGTGCTGGAGGCTGGAACTGTGTTCCCTGCTGAAGGAAAGCTGTAAACAAGGGGCAGGAAAGGAGACACTGGGTTTCAGAAGGGCCGCTACCGCTGGATGTTCACAGCGAGCCTTGGAGGAAATGAAGGAAACGGCCGGGACTGACTCACCGGGGATGGGTGTTTTACTTGCTGCTTGTGTAAACTTACTGTGCTGCAGCTTCCAAGCTCTCTGTTCTGCTCCCTTCCATTATTACCAGGGTTTTTCATGCCATATGCACAGGTTTGCGTCTGCTTGGAGTAAGGTACAGCTGCTGAACACGCCTAGGGAAGCAAACTGGCTTTCCAAGGAGGGCTCAAGCAAATGATTTTAGTTTTAAGAAGGCCCTAAACAACTCTCCTCCTCTGCAGTATTTGTGGTATGTCAGTAGTCGAACCAAGTTACTTTCTGTCCGCCTGCCTGCCTGGATTTTGGCATGCCCAGCTGTGTGCTCTGCATATAGAACTAAGCCCAGAATAGCGCCTGGGCAGAGCAGAGAGGATGTGACAGCACAGGACTTGAGCAGGACGGGATGTTTACGAGGAGGATGTCGGAGTGGGAGGAGTGGGAGGTTAATGTCCCAGCTGCCCCTCAGCCCCACGATAGCACAAGGCATTGCAGGAAGCAGGAGCACTTCAGGGTACAGAGCACTGCTCTTGGTGCTGTTGGGCCTCTCTGCAGGGAAGGGACATACCAGGGATATATATATACATATATATATATATATATATATATACACACCCCAAGGAGGTATGTCCTTGAAGGGAAAGGGGCATACCAGCACTCAGCTGCTGCAGCCTAGAGTTTGGTGGGCTAAGAGACTCTGCAGCCTAATCCACCTGGGATACTCACAGCATGGAACAGCCCTTCTCCTGCTCACGCTGTGCTGGGTTCCAGATGTGTTCAGGCACTCAAACTCTCTGTGCAGCAGGCAGAGAAAGCAAGGCATGATTCACAAAACCAAACAGAAAACTGTTTCTGCAGCTGCTGGAGGTGCCAAGGACAGGGGGAGAGGTTAAGCTCACCTCAGACAACAAGATGCCCTTTTCTGGATAGAAAAGGAGCAGTTTTCCAGTCAGGATGACCAACTCCAACCCGCTGCCAGCTGCTAGGAACTTAGAAAATGCAGTGGGAAGATGCACGGGCTATTTATATAATGTCCCAGAGGTCTGACACCAAACTAAGAGAGACATGATCCAGAGTCAGCTTCCGGGAATTTGAAGCATCCCTTTCCTCACTGCTGACTGTAAATGCAGTGATGTGGAATGGGAATCTCAGCTGCAGGAGCTGATCCACTCTGCTGAAAAAAGGCACCCACACAAACGAATGAAAGGAGTAATTGAATCAGAAGGCAGAAGCAGGCACGAGGATGATTCTGTGGCTGTCTGGGGAGAGTTCTCAGTGTTCCACTTCTGAGGGGAGTTTTCCTGCCTGGGAGACTCCACACGGGTCTCACAGGGAAGGGAGGACTCAGGATTGCTTGGGTGTGGGCTGCAGGGTTTCTCTGGTGGTTGAGCCAAGCTCCTTCTTTCTCTTTTGCTGAAATCTTCCGAACACATCCTGGAGGATATACACCTGCAAGCCTCAGGAAATGATTAGGAGAAAAAAACAGACTTAGCAAAGAGACAACTCTGGATACCAATTTGAAGAGACAGAATATATAATATATAATGCCTTCCTCAGCCACCTAAGATAATGCTTTGCACACTTTGCAATTTTGGTGAGCAAAGATCTATATAATATGCCATGGCAAAGTGCACCCTCACATAAATCCTGTATCCCTATAAGCACCTGTGTACCTACAAGAGACGGAACACTCAGGAATCGTAGATGTGGCTTCAGCTTTTAATGCAGCCTACAGAGCTTTTCTACCCACATCCTGGTCAATTTCTTCAGAATTCAGGTGCTTCATTAATTTACATTTATTTGATGATCTTGGATGAAATCCTGCCTGGGATCCTGTAATCCTATAAAGCCCAGGACAACCCAACACTTTTCCTTGAACCCCCAGCTGCCTGCTGGGAGGAAACGCAAAGGAGTCATGCATGTGAAGTTAAGGAGTGGGAAAACAAGAGATTCGGATAATGAAGGGAGCTTAAGAAATAAGAAGCACCTCCGATTCTTAAGCTGGTACAGACACCTGGGCTGGTGGGTCAGGTGCACTCCAGAGGCAAAGCAAACAAATGCTGTGTCCAAATCTGAGAGGGACACAGTTACTACAGAATCACAGAATTGAACTGCAACTGGAAGGGACCCACAAGGACCATCCGGTCCAACTCCTGGCCGTGCACAGGACACTGGAACAATCCCACCCTGTGCATCCCTGGGAGCGTTGTCCAAACACTCCTGGAGCTCTGGCAGCCTTGGGGCTGTGACCATTCCCTGGGGAGCCTGTTCAGTGCCCCACACCCTCTGGGGGAAGAACCTTTCCCTGATATCCACACTAACCCTGCCTTGACCCAGCTCCAGCCGTTCCCTGGGTCCTGTCCCTGGTCACACAGAGCAGAGATCAGAGCTGCCCCTCCTCCCCTCGTGAGGAAGCTGCAGAACTGCTGTGAGCTCTGACCTCAGTCTTCTCCAGGCTGAACAAACCGAGCGACTTCAGCCGCTCCTCGTGTGGCATTCCCTCTGCGACCTTCACCCATATTCTTACTACTGAATTAAAGAAAAAAAAAAATTAAGGAAAATACCTTCCGCTCGGACGTGTCGGGGGCTGCGGCCGGCCGGGCCGGGAGCGGGGCCAGGGCCGCCGTGTCCGCCGCGGCCCCCGGCCGCCCTGCCCTGCCCTGCCCCGCCGCGGTGCCGTCGGAGCGCGGCCGCCGGCCCCGCACGCCAATCAGGGCGGCCCGCCTGCCTTCCTGTAGGTGTGCCCGGCTCACCTGGAGCCGCGCTCGGCACTCATGACATACCTGCGGCCCCGCGCAGGGCGGCGGCGAGGCGGCGGCCGAGGGGCGCCGGGGGGGGCAGCGCTGGCCCCGGCCCCGCGATGTGAGCCCGGCGCAGGTAAGGGCGGCCGCCGGGGGCGGCGTTGCCGTATTCCCGGGAGAGGCGTTGCTGTATTCCCGGGATCGCCGTTGCCGTATTCCCGGGATCGCCGTTGCCGTATTCCCGGGAGAGGCGCGGGCCTGGCGCCGGATCCCCGCGGATCCCGGGCCGGGACGGACAGAGGGGCGGCTGCCCCGCGGGGCCGGGGCGGGGGCGACGGGCGGGCTCCGGGAGCGCGGGGCTGACGGGGTGGGGGGACGGGACGAGGGGGAGAAGGAAGGGGAGGGAGGGCGGCCGACCCACCATTTTAGGACCCGAGGGGGACGGGAGGAGGGATCTCCGGAGAGGGAGAGCGTCGCTCCTCCCGCGGCGGGCCCGGTGCGGGTGCGCGGTGCGGGCGCCATCGGGGCGCGGAGCTCCGCGGGGTCGCGGCGGGAGCCCCGGTGCCCCCCAAGGGGACGGCGAAAGGGACTGCGGTCCGCCCGGCCCGGGGCAGTCCCGGGGGGCCGCAGCCTTGGCCGGGGGCCGCATCTTTGGCGGGGGCTCCGCGCCCCGACGGCAGCGCCCGTGCCGCCCCCCGCTCCCCCGCCCGTGCCGGCAGCAGGGAGGGCCCGGAGCGCAGGCCCGGTCCCAGGCTCGGCTGCCAAGCAGCAGCAGGAGCCTCTTCCCGCAGAAATGGTGCCTCCCACGCAGGAGCGAGATCCCACGGTGTTCGCCGGGTTTTCAGCTCCCGCCGGGAGCTGCGGCCCGGGAGTCGCGGGGGTGCTGTGCTTGAACTCTGGACACCTCCTTGTTTTCCTCCTTGCCTCGTGACTTTTATGGCCTGTCACGGAGGGAAGGCAGAGGAACGAAAGGCGAGATCCGTGCCTGCTGCTCGCTTCCTGCCTGCTTCCCGCAGCCCGGCCACCGCAGCAGCTCCGATGGCAACCCCAGCTCCCCAACCAACCTGCCCGGGGGGGATTCGGAGCTCCCACGGCTCTCACCTGACCCATCGTCCTCCCTGCACCCGTGTTTGTCCTTGCTTGATGCTTCGTTTATTTCCAGATATTGGCTAAGACTGCATCAAACCTGGTAGGAATTATGGGGTCAGAGATCTGAGCTCAGCTCATCGGTTTTGACTTGTTGCTGACTTTGCCAGGGCGCTGCTGGATATGGATGCCCATGTGTTGGCTTCTCCTGGAGCTGGGTGCCTGCTCCTCCTGGGCCAAGGCACACGTGTAATGTGTTGTTGGAAGTTTTGTGACCTGATTCCTTGGTGTTTTGGAGTTTCTCATAACCTAAATGACTTGGAGATGGCTTGGATAAGGGCAGAGTCCTTTTAAAGGGTTGCACCGGAGGGAGGTGGCTTGGTTTGGAGGAATAATGTATGGGTGACCCAGATTTTAGGACTGCACCTGAATTGGGTGAGGAGGAGGCATCCATAATCAGACTTGAAGTTGTAACAAATCTAAGTTCTTCTTAGGTTTGTTAATGTTAGGAAGAGCTCAGCTGGCTTCTGTGTAGAACCTCGTTTTGCCTGGTGGTGGTTGAGGGTGGCATTTGTCCTGTCCTGCCTGTACAGCAGCCTGGTGGTCTGGATAAATCTCAGTGGGTTTATATGGTCCACTCGCTCATGACAGGAGGTGACTGGGCTTGAGGTTGATGCTCCTGCTCTCTGAAATAGTGAGACACAAATATTTCCTCTGGGAACCTCTTGTGCATCCTGATAGATTTTGATCGCAAGAGTCTGTCTGGGGTTTTTTTTGTGGTTTTTTTTTTTTTTTCATCCCGCTAACTTTGGATGGTTGTTCTTGTGCTTGTTCTGTTGAATCTTATCCTTTCTTATGGTTCATTTATTTCATGTGCTTTCTAGCAGGAAAGAGCCAAATTATGCTATAGTTTCTGATGGTTTTTTCCTTTTTTTTCCTTCTTAATGTAATCTACTTTAGAGTCTTGTTTAAAGTGGGCAGTTTTATTTAATTAGTTTGTATTCATGTTACATTCCCTCTCCATAGTTATCTCAGGCAAAATTTGAGGAACAGCCCGCAAGGGATTTCAAATTCTTAATTAGAATCACATTTTTTTCCAAGGATGTTTGATTCTAAGAGTTTACTGTGCTTTCTGTCATCTGGTATCTTTCCAGTTGATGTTGTTTGCTTAGTTACTGTTTGGCTAAATTATCCACAGCTAGTTTATTTCAGTAGTCATGCCTCGGAAGTTTTGCAATTCCTTTCCGCTTTGCAGCTCCTCACTGAAGTCCTGTTGAATCTTTTAATGAAGTACTCAGAAGCGACTTCAGTGCAAATGCAGTTGTGCTCTATTGTTTTGGCACTTGGGCCTTACAGAGAGGTTATTTCCCTCTTTCCTGACGTAATTACACAGTTGACGTTCAGACTATCAGCCAGCTGGGGACAGATACTGTCACCTGACCCCTGGCAGGTATTTACATTCCCAGCTGGTTATCACTGCATCAAATCCAAAATTCTACTAGAAAAGTACCCAGTCTTGATTTGAAGATACCAAGTGATAGGCTGCACTGGTTCCCCAGGTAAATTATTCCAATGGCTGATTACCCTCGCTAATTTCTTATCTCCATCTGTCCAGCCTGGCTCCTAACCACAAAGTCTTGCTACAAGTTTTCATGCCAGGTGACAGAGCCTGTTTCTGCCAGGGTGACACGTTCCAGCTAAAAGAGCCTGCTGTACTGCAAGCCCATGGCTGTTGGCTGTGCTGAGCTCTTCCTTCTGGGAAGAGGCAGCTGTGGAGCTGGAGTCTGGGTGATCAGTGTGGTTTAGAGCAGTGGTGGAGGGTGCCTGGCCTGGTGTCTGTGTGCAGGCAGGGCTTCCTGGGAGCTGTGATTGAATAACTCGCATTGCTTTGAGCTGGGCCTCACATAATGGGCAGCCCAGCAGCACAACAGGCTGCTGCTGAAGGAACGATCCTGTTCTCATCCAGACCTGACTGCAAGCTCCTGCTGCTTCCCTCGGATCAGCTCTGGTGACCAAGTGGCCTCGGATCAGTCCAGTCACTGCTCCAACTGAATATTAACCCCCTTCCCTAAAGAAAAAGCCTATAGAAGTTGGATTAGCCTGCTTTGTGGCCAGAGAGATTGTAGCGTGACCCTGGGCGTGAGATACGTGGTGAGGGACCACCTCTTCCAACAGCAGGATTAGATGCCAGAGGGAATCATGCATTTAGTTCCTACATTTCTGTGCTTGGATAAACAAGGCTGTGGTTGCACAAATCCTCTCAGCTGGCACTGCTGTTGAAAGAAGCCGTCGTGCCTGCCTGTTGTCATCTCTGCTGGTTCTCTGCTGTGGTTTGTTGTGAGACCACACATGCACCTCTGCCACCAGAAGTAAAAAGAGCAGAGGATGGAGCTCCTTTTGGCAAGGTGAAGAGTTGTCACAAGCACGCCTTATCTTGAACCTTCATGGAACTCAGTGCATCTTTTTGCCTTCCCTCTGCAGCTGACATGTGAGAGCAGCTGCCCTGATTTACTCAGTAGTGCAGATTAACTTGGGAGAACTGAGTTTAGCCAGGACTGGGTTTAGGTCAGCTGCTCTTACGTCTTTGGTCAAGAAGTGTGTATTGAAATTTGTTGTGTGGGAAAGAGCATTTAACGTGGAAAGAAGGAGGTCTGAGCCTTGGCTGTGACACACTGCTACCTATGAAGGGTTCAGTGGTGCAGAAAAGTTCCAAGTTAATGCATTCATGCGTTCTAGATGTGAGTTCTCAGTGGTGCTCAGTGCTGAGCAAGGTGGGGTGCCCTTTTGGGAAAGCTTCATTAATCTTGTCTTTTCCATTAAAAAGTAACTCCAGCTTTCTTTCCCTTTGAGTAGAATTGGTTTGCTGAGACAAAATCCTTTCCCCATCTATTATTTTAGACACCATTCCTTCAAGTCCCATGCAGGATGAGGAACAGAGCCTGTGGTGGGGACTTGTTTTGACCTCATGTTTGGGGGGTTGGATTAAAAGCAAGATGAAGTCAAAGAAGAAATTCCCATAACTTTAGTACAAGTTCAGTGCAAGGTCAGGGGGAGGGCTATTGGTTTTGATAATGGGAAAAATTTAGAAGAGGGAAGGTGATTACCATGACATGTGTACAAATGTACATAGATAAACAGGCACACATATGTAAATGTATACAAAATAGAGGGTGTTCTGATGCTAGGAGAGGTTGAGGAGGAGTGGCTGAAGAAACTGTAATTGGATAGCACACAAGGAGGGAACTGAGGTGGGAGGAAGCATAGGAACCTGAATACTGCATTAGAGCAGAGATGGCCATAAGTTCCCTTCCTGAAAACATATCCTA